CCAGTGTTCGTTTATAGAAATAAAATCATAGGATTTGTTCTCTAAAAATGCATCCAATTGAATGGATTTATTTTTTAAGGATTGAATATTTATGTGAAAGATTTGTATACTATTTATTTTATTCCAATTTAGTTTGGAGATATTTTGCCTAAAAAATTTCTTGTGCTGTTTGATTTTGGAAAGAAATACCTGTTTATAAGGGTACCTTCAGGCCATATATTTCCATCAAGAATTTGGTTTTTAAATTTATAAGGGGCACATATTTTAAAAGAACTTTTTTTACTGTTTTCATGATTTTGAGTAAGTTTTTCACATTGGGTTTTGCAGATTGTAGCTAAGTGGTCTTCTATTTGTTTCTCAGTGGTCTCTTCATGAAGATTCGTTACGTAAATCCAGGCGTTCTTTTCAACAACTTTAAGAGTGTTAGAGTTGTTTGTCCCCTTAATAAACGCACTGGTTTGTTTATTGTTTTTATGGTTGTTTGTAGGTGTATTATTTTCTTTATTGATATCATCTTTTTTGTCGATGACGTCAGGTTTAAGCGCGATATTTATAGCAGCTGTCATTTCGGATTTTGTAATAATTGGATTTTGTATGTTTGTGTTTGAGTTTTTTGCTTTTGTCTGATTGGTTTTAGGATTTGGTTTAGTGTCAGTAGTTTTTGAGTTTTGAGGCACTAGTGACTTACTTTGTGCTGGGTTTTTATTTTGATTAGTTTTCTCACCAGGTGGGGTAAGTTGTTTTAGAAGATTTATCTGTTCTTTTAAAATAAGAATTTTGTCTTCAAGGCTTAGAATATGCACATCCTTCTGCTTTAATAGTTCTTTCAAATAATAATTTTCCAAACTGCTTTCGTCGTTTCCTAGGACTGTATCATTACTTTCACTATCAGAGGTTGAATCAAGGTCATCGTCACAACATTGAACATTTTTCTCATCAATGAATTTTATATTTTTTAATAGTTTAAGGCAACTACTATGGCTCACCACACCACATTTTATACACTTAGGTCCACTAAGAGCACTAGTTTTACACCTTTTACACTTATTTTGTTCGTTTACAAAATCGTTAGACATTTTTATCATTGTTACCAACTGGATATATAATATGATAAAAATACTCTAAAGAAAAAAAAACAATCTAAACAATATAATAACTACAACTGGTTTTTGTTGACGTACTCTCTAAAAATAACTAGTTTTCAAAGTAAAAAAGCAGTCACTAATAACTTTAGTCCACAGCTATTTGTATTCCGGGCATTTAACAGCTTATTATTATGTAAAATTGTCCCCTCAATCAGAAAATACCGTCAAAAATTATAAAAGTAAAGCAGTTTTAAGATATAGTCAATACCATATTATATGGAAAATTTACTAAATCTCAAAAACGTTCTACTTTTATAACTTTTGACGACATTTTTGGATTCAGCGGACAATTTTACATAGGAGTTGACTGTTAAATATCCGGGATACAAATTACTATTGACAATAATTATTAGTTGCTGCTTTTTCGCTATTGCAATTAGACTAATTGAATTAGTCATTTTTGACTAATTCTATTTTAGAGAGTTACTACTGTTAAACTTTGCTACCGTCAACTGCAACTATCAAACAAATACTAAAGATAATATGACCATTTCTCTCCTTTTATTTTGATCAAAACAAAATAAGCAGTCAATATCAAAGCGGCAAAAGGCGCTTTATAGCGACAGAAAAAAAGGGCGGCCGACGCAAAAAAGGCAGAAACCTTTATCCAATTTATGTTTAAGTATCATATGCAAGAAAGTTTATCGTTACAAAGTACTGATTGAGTCTTTGATTTTGCGCCCCCGAAATGTTGCGCCTGCGTGCGTGCACGTACTGCACGCTCGCCAGGAACGGGCCTGATGATCTCGTTACTATGTACCTACTTTTTACAATAAGTTACCTGACAGAATAAAAACTCTGAGTTTAAAATCTTTTCAACAAACTATTAAAACCTACCTGCTAAAAAATGCCTTTTATAGTATACAGGAGTTTTTAAACAGTGATTTGCGTAATGCGTTTATTTAATTATTCCTTTTTTGATTGTATCGTTTTGTAACATTACGGAATACAATTTTTAATGTGTAATATTTGTACTAACATATCTTGAATTTTATTGTTATTTTAATGTTTTATTTAAATCTATTTTGTATTTTTCTGACATGTGCAAAAGTTTGTAAAAATTTAATGCATGAATAAACTATCTATCTATCTATCTATCTATCTATCTATCTATCTATCTATCTATCATTATTACTGAAAACAGCGTAATAGTGTAAATTATTCAATCATTAGGTAAGAACGGCACAAAACATAAATAAGCCCCAACAAAATTAAAATGTTTAAAACTTAACGAACCAGTTCCGATATTTGCCTAACATAAACCACTAAACACCTCTAAATTTTAGGCATTGCATGCTGCTAGCTGTATAAGAGAATTAAAAAAGCAAAGTTAAGAGCAATTATATAAAATAAATTATATATAAATGCAACTTCTAATTGTTAGAAAAAAAAAGAAAACGTAAAGACAAATATCTATCGATAGTTCTCGACCCCTACACTGAAGAAACGTTTTCGCACAGTGGGGCAAACAATTGCTCACAACAGTTTCCGAATTTCAGCAGACTACAAGACCAGAAAAGATAGGTCCTAGCAGCGTACTAACCAACCAAACCTCATTCATGAACCCCAAATAAATGGGGGGATTACTAAATCCCTGGTTGAGGGGGATTCCGGATTGTACTTAGTTTTGCCTCCTTGTCCCGTACTCCTAGCCTGAATCGGGCGTATGGCCCGGCCCGGCGAAAAAATTCCGGGAGTGGCCTTTACCATCCACACTGTCATCCACGACCTCCTAGGCGAGATTTACCAACCACCAAACACAGGTGATGCTGTTCAGTGGCGGGATAAGTAGGAGAACTGAAAGGGGGTGAAATAACCCTGGGAGATGTTAATTATTTTCTTCGTTTCAAAACTCACTTGCGCGTGCTGATTAAATAATCAAACCAATAAGTTGTAAATCTTTCTTCAATAAATACCTACTCGGTGTTCATAAAAACTTGCGTTTTTATCAAACATCGCGCCCCCTTGTAACCTCGCGCCCCTAGGCACGTGCCTAGTTTGCCTTAGGGATAATCCGCCTCTGGTTTACAGAATAAATGATATTTTTTTAATAAAGTTAAATTTTTATTAGTGTACAGTACAGTACTCAGTACTGAGTACTGTAAGTTGTAATTAAATAAGTGATTATAATAATACTTAACTGTTGTTGTTTATATTTTTCCTTTATTTTCCAAATTGTTTATATAAAAAAGGGTTTTAAGTATTTAGTAATAATAAATTATTTAAAAAAAATGTTTTTTGTAATTAAAAAAAAATCTCGAAAATCCCGGGATTTAAGAAATCCTAATTTTGTCCGTATTGTATGCCCTAGTAATTAGGTATGTACAAAACAACGGTATAATTTGTATAAGGTAAATTATTCCAACAATTTCCTTAAATCGGCACTAATTTAGTGTCCTATTTTAAAAATAAAAGTGCCCTAAAATGTTTGCTTCATTCGCTGCGAACCCTGATATATATAAACTGCTCGTCATAAAAATCGACGCACCTAGTTTTTTGGAAAATATTTGAAAGCTCGTTATTGCAAAATTACTGAATCAATTTTGAAAATCTTTGGAAATTCTGAATACCTGATTCTTTGACTCTTATGTCTAATTTTGGGAATACGATATTTTGCACAGAGCATTATACTACAGGGTTTTAAACGAAGAGATGTAATTTTTCCGAAATTTCAAGTTATTCCCATTCTTGAGGCAGTTGAGTTTGATAGTCGGAATACCCCTCCTTAATATAAGTAAGGTAATCCCTCGGAACGTTTTCGAGATTTTGTGGATATCTTGGCTAACTACGATTTTATAGCAATTTTTAGAAAATTGTCGTTATTCTCTACTTAATTCCCAAAAATGAGCAAACTGCGAAAGATATCGATTAGTTATCAACACATCGTTTCCTCAATTTGCATGTTCTTGTGCCCATCTTCTTCTAGCAGAAAAAGAGGGCAGGCAGCTCTTCGTCTTGCGTGGTATGCAATCTTACATCCGTCATTTTATTTTTTTAAATGTGTTTTGCTGTTTGAAAAATGTTTTCATATTCGACGACAAAAATGACAAGAATAATTGAAGGAAGGAAACTCAAAACCAGATATGCGCCATATTTTTTAAACTTTCATAGTCAACCGTTTGTAGAAAATTGTATAAATATAGCCTGCATAAATTTACGAGAATAATTTTGTATGGTTTGCGTTTTTATTTTGAATTTTCGAAAAACTGCCATATAATCGTAGTTATCCAAGATATCCACAAAATCTCGAAAATGTCCCGAGGGATTACCTGTTATTAGGAAGGGGTATTATGACTATCAAGCTCAACTGCCTTGTGAATGGTGATTTGGAATTTTGGAAAAAACATCTCTTCTTTTTAACACCCTGTAGTATAATGCTATGTGCACAATATCGTATTCCCAAAATTAGACGTAAGTCAAAGAATTCACTATTTCTCAATTTTTGGATAACTGGGGAATAACGACAATTTTCGAAAAATTGTCATATAATCGTAGTTAGCCACAAAATCTCGAAAACGTCCCGAGGGATTACTTAACTGTTATTAGGAAGGGGTTTAGGACTATCAAGCTCAACTGCCCTGTGAATGGGGATTTGGATTTTTGGAAAAATACATCTATACACCCTGTAGTATAATGCTATGTGCAAAATATCGTATTCCCAAAATTTGACATAAGAGTCAAAGAATCAGCTATTCAGAATTTCCAAAGATTTTCAAAATCGATTCAGTAATTTTCCAATAACGAGCTTTCAAATATTATCCAATAAACTAGGTGCGTCGATTTTTATGACGAATAGTTTAGTTAGATCACATTAACGGTTAAAAAAAACATCCTGTATATATAATATTTTTTCAGAGTGTAATATATGTCTCCACTGCCTATTCCAACTGCCACCTAAAGGCAATAGATGAAAAATTCTACGATCATCCAAATGACTACGAGGAATTTGGAGTTTTTTTGGAAAAACTCAATGATAAGGAGACTGAGATTATTACACCACGGTATGTTTTATATTTTATACTGTATAATCTTATGGCACTCTAACCTCAAGCTTATCCTTGCATACAAGTGGTTCAAAACAGTTTGAGGATGAAAGTTTAGTTCCTCAGATCGGTCTTGATAAACTAGTTACATGATTTTCGGTAATTGGTCTACTAGAGCTGATTGAATCTTTGACATCAATATTTTCAAAATCCATTCGAGGACTGTTCTCGATAATTACAATCATTATAAACTTTACAATTTATTTTAGCTGCATGCGTTGCTTTCTAAATTTTTTAATTTCTTTTTATTTTAAAATATTTAAGATGCTCTAGGTATCTTTTTTCGACATAAAAAATAAACAATTTTTTAGGATATTACAAAAATGGCCTAACACTTATTCCTTTACCAAGGCAATGGCTGAATCACTTATTAAAAAAACAGGACATGGTCTACCTATAGGAATATTTAGGCCATCTATAGGTTAGTATTGGTTGAATTATAGATGTTTTAAATCAGATGTTCTTAATTTCTATTAACAGTGATTTCTACGTATAAAGAACCGATTTCGGGTTGGATTGACAACATGTACGGCCCAACCGGGGCGATGGCACAAATACAATTTGGCTTATTAAGAACCTTAAAGGTTAATGATTCTATGCTAGCCGATTTAATACCTGTTGATACATGTGTAGCTGGCCTAATTGCGGCAGCATGGGACGTAGGTACCGAAAAAACAGAAAGGTAAAGAAAATCTGTTTTTGAACATAATTTTATAGACTTGCTTTTAGAACGTCAAAAAACATTTCAATATACAATTACGTGTCATCAGTAGAAAACCCAATTACGTGGAAGGATTTTTATTTTATTTGCCGGTTACATGGTCTTCAATACCCATTATTAAAAACACTTTGGATTCCATACATGATTAACACAAATTCCGAAATTTTGTATAAGATATACACGTTCTTGTTCCACCTTTTACCAGCTTTGCCCGTGGATTTGTTTGCTATTATTACAGGAAATAAACCCAGGTAATTATTTTTTATTTTAAATATGAACATTTTGGTATTGAGCCTCTTAAACCTCAAACATTTAAAATACATATTTACAAATGAGGGCATCCGTGCAAAACCGGCTAAATCCATTTTATTCAGTTTTTGTTTTTTTTTTCGCATCTTTGGGTTCATTTCTATCGACAATAAAGATAATTCTGTTTAAATCCGACTAAATCCATGTTAAAATCACATTTAAACGGTAGTTTTAGGAGCAAAACCGGCCAAATCCGGCTATATCCAATAAAAAATTTTTATTTAATAATGTCTATGTCTTATATGTCAAGTACCACAAAGCCCACAAAACTAAAGTTTGCTTATTCTTTTACACTGTTTAAAATATCTGTGGTGTAAAAAGTAATCTTAAAATGGTGTCAAAATCCAACAACAAGTGGTGTTAATATAACACCATGAATTATGGTTGAAAATGTGTACCGATCGCGGCAAAGGCGGTGTGGATCACGTTATGTTCTTAAATCTCTCTTCTGTTGACTTACATGAAGAATATATAAACTCCTTTGCTTTGGTGTGACACTACAAGTTGTTCGATACTAAAGAGACCTTAAATAGGTGGAAACAGCTGTCAATACTTGAAGTATTTTAAGTTAGTGGAAGTTCCACCGTGGAACGCACTAAAAACATTATCTCTAGCGAATTGAAGGTTCCATTTTCTGCATGGAATAATACCACTGGTAATATACTAGTAATGCGTCAAGGAACTTCCTGTTTCCTTTTTTTTTCCTTTTTTCTGTGTAGTATAATTTAATTTGACCACAAACACATAATATTTAACACTGAAAAGGAGTTCAATTTACACCAGGTAAAATTTATTTTAATACTGCGTGAAAGTTAAATTAACACCATTTTAGTATTTGAATTTACACCGGACCAACGAACCTTATTTAACACCATTTTGGCTTGTATCAATATAGACCACGTATGGTGTTAATTTGGTGTTAAAATGGTCATGAAATTTTGAACAGTGTATTACATGTAAAGGCCAGGAAACCGGATGTAGCCGGTTTTGCACGGATGCTCCTCAAATATACTAATTCTTTTGGCGTTAATTACTGAATGCTTTTAGGTTATTAAAGACCTATAGAAAAATCCACAAATTTATTGACGCAACTGACTTTTTCCGTCGAAGAGAGTGGACTTTTTCCAACGAAAAAACCAAACAATTATACGCAAAATTGTCACCAGAAGATAAAGCGTTATTTCCTTTAAACATTGAGCAAGTAAATTGGTTTATTTTTCTAAATGATTACATGAAGGGTGTACGGAAATATCTTCTGAAAGATTTCGATAATACATTAAAAGATGCATTAACCAGAGCCAATAGGTAAGTTTATCTCTTATAAATAATTATTATAATCGAGACCACCAACCATTCAAAATGTAAAAGTTATATAATTTTTATTTTAAGGTAGGTAGTATCTCCATTTGAAGATTTTGATAAATAAATAATAGTAGGCCGTGACAGTAAATTCAGAGGTGCCAATGTAGTATATTTGACAAAAAATCAGATGTGTTATTTAACAAAATAATAACTATATCTGAAGTCAAATAGTTTAATTGCGACGTAATTTATAACCTTAAAATATTCGTACATTGTGATGGTAAGAAGCTAACATTAAGAATAAACACGGAAGAGTTTCAATACTCGACAAAATTAAGAGAAAATTTTAGAAAATAAAGTATACAATTTTTGTGCATTTAAAATACGTGCTTGTTTAAGGTTACTTTTCAAGTTTTACAGAAAAATTTATTCCTATATGTTTCATTCAAAATTTTACAGTATCAACTTTAGAAGCCAACTTGGTCGCACATGCCTATTTCCCACATAGCAAAATAATATACCTAGCATGTGCTCAGAATCAACTTCTTACGTATAAGGATATTAGGAATATGTTCTGAGCATATGCTAGGAATAATGCTTTTATATACTAGGGAAATGCTTAGCATATCCTTTTGGCCACAAGTAGCATGTGCTATGCACTACAATTGGGAATGTTCTAAGAATATACTGGGAATACTTGGCTATATATACATAGCATATTCTGTGAACATACTTGGTAAGGTAAAAATACAGCTACCTATATGCTTAATAACATTTATTAAAAAAAAGGTTATAATATGTATTAGGTATTGTGTTCTTCCTCATGCTGTTTGTCAGCCAATCTAAAAAAAAATATATATATAGGAAGTATTATTATACAGGGTGTCCCAAAAAGAATGAGACATAAGGTAACATCGTATTCCTTACGCAAAAATATTGTTTGATGTGGCTGACTGTGTTGGAGTCAAATGAGCCAGCGGCTTAAACTCAGATTGATCACTTCGTGCAAAATGAATAGTAGGACTTACTTCAAACAGACTTGAATCAATATTATTACTACACTTGTTACTACATGTTGGTTTAGGAGATGGTGGAGATGAAGAAATAGAAGTAGAAACCTTAAGAGTGTCATTTAAAGTAAGCAAAAGTTCTGCTTCACGAGTTTTTTTAGTCACCATACGTCTAAGCGAGCGTTTACTTTTTGGGTGTTTTTTTGTGAACATTGTATGTCCTCCAACTCAGCTTAACCACAACTAACTATAATAACTACCTACTTACACACTAAAGTATGTATCAATACTATAGAATGTATACTACATTCTTAGCACACAACTAACCTTAAAAAGTCAAGCTTTTCAGTCTTTCCTTTCCAGATTTCAATAAACTCGCACATCAAATACAAAACTTAGGGACTACACCTCTGTGTATAATATATATAATATTTAGTGTTTTCTTTTAGGGCTTACACCACTTACGACCTACACCACAAAATATAACCCCCTTGTCAGAGGAGTGTAATGCAATGCCCACAGAATACCATGCCCCCGTGGCCACCGTTTATGCACTATTTTAACTGCACAGCACTTTAACCTTTAACCGTTTGTTTTGAAACTTTTTTACGATAAACAAATCCTCGGACAAAAGACAAACCAATAAAATGGCGTGCGGCCGAGTTGACATACAACATAACAACAGCGCCACCTGTTGCTCGATCTGTGACAGATCGATCTGTCACAGATCGAGCAACAGCGCTGTTGTTATGTTGCATGTCACAAGCATATACTACGTACATGCTACAACTTAGTCAAAAGTATATCCTGTAAAGTTTTTATAAGCATATAGCGAAATATCCTTAGTATATGCTATGAATAAATGCACGGGAATATACGTTTTAGAATATAGGTGGTACATGTTTATATATTCGTGGAACATGCTAAGAATATAAGAATATGAATATAAGTTCAGGTACATTCTGGGTATATGCTATAGATATGAATATGCTTTTTATTGTTATGTGGGTTTCTAAGGTCGCGCCCGTTACGCTATTCATGACGTTATAAAAGGTTTTCTGTTCAAATTTTTATTGACATTTTGTTTGAGTTAGGTAAATACCTAATTTTTTATACATTTTTTTTATATTAACGTATCTTAATATATATATTATATGAACAAACACTTTATTATAATGAATAAACGCAGTTTTAGTGTCGCATCCGTTACAATGGAAATACCCTGTAGTAAAAATAAAATGTTGTATTTTAATTAACAAATTAATACTTTATTACAATTTAAAGTAAAAACAACATACATATTAAATAAGTAACAATATTAATGAATTTAATAGCAAAATTAAGGTTTAAAACTATTATATTTTTGTGTTTTAAAATCCATTAGAAGTTTCTGGGGAACAGAAAAAGATATCGATTTAAAATTTTAAAACCGGTTATAATCCATTAAAGTCTATTTTTCTAAAATATTTTGAACAAAATACAACTTCCGGTTTTACCGGCAGTGACATCAACTTTGTTATTTCAAATATAACACCCCATTTATTTTTACATTTTTAAATTTTACATAAAATTCTTAATAAAATTACTATACCATGTCCTATAGCCAAAGTAAATAGTTTTCGAGCTATTAATTTTGTTCGTTAAAATTTGACAAATGCGCGTCAATCAAGAATACCCTAGGTATAACTTTTTTGTTATTAGGTTTGCGAAAATAGGAGTGGAATTTTTGGAATCTTAAAACATTGTTTAAAAGATTCCTTTTCAATTATTTAAAATTTTGTAACAAATTACCTGAAAAAAGTCACTGCAAATAAGGTCAACTTGAAACGTTAATAACTTTTTTATTTTAAATATAATCAAATAGTAAATTAAAAAACGTTTCGATTCAAAAGGTTTTTTAATACATATGTAACTATTCCCTTACCTAAAGTTAATGATTTTAATAGTATATTGTGTCTCAAGGGCAGAAAACTAGCTTTAGCAGCTCGCGGCTATTAACTGCCTGAGCGAGCGAAGCGAAGCGAGGGCAGTTGATAGCTAAGGGCTGCTAATGCGTTTTCTGAATGTGTGACACACACCTGTTTTTCGCCTAGCATATTTTTTTTAATTGTATTAATATAAACGGAATTTTATAAAAAACTTCAGTAACAATTTACGAATTTATTTATTGTTGTAATTAATGTTAATTATGCCTTGATCACAATTGTGGATAGTACCAGAATTTGAAGGCTTATTTCTACAGATGAAGTTGATGTTTCATTAGAATTATCTTTGATCTTTCCGATAGATAAGCAACTAATACATTTTCTGTTAAGTTTTTGGGTTTTTGATCCTTTTTCCAGTTTTTATATAATTCATAGCACTTTTCGTACCGTTGCAACGCATTGTCTTTTTCAAATCTGGTCAAGTATTCATAAATTTTTCGTCACTGTCCGAGTTACCATTCATTTTTACTTTATTACAAAATTTAAATTAAGTTTTATTGTTATTTTATACTTTTGTTGTCCGTTTTTATTTTGATTTACACAAACGTCTGAAAATCTCAAATGTCAAAATGTCAAATGTCAAAATACATAAATGTCAGTCAAAGGTGTCTAGATTGTGAAATAATCAAGTTTAGCGGCCCTAGGGACGATAAATATTATTTTCGGTCATATTTTTAGGTTTGATATGATTCATTTTTATATGTGCTGGGCGAAAAAAATATTTAACAATTTCTAAAATTTGAAATATTATTTTGTTTCAAGAAACCTGTGACGGGTGAGTTGACGGTATCTATGGTTACCACGTAATCTGTTATTCTTCAAAATTTAATGGCGTCAATTTGTTGACTAATTAAGTGTTTTGTAAACAAAATTACTGATAAAAAATAGTACTTAGTGACTTATACAAAATATTGACAAACCAAACATTTTTAAAATTTAAAAGTAATACAAACAGTATTTGCTAATTTTGAAAAAAAATAACAAAGCTGTAGGATTTCAGCAATAGCTGTATCTATAGATAAAGCACTAGCTCATTGAAGGCAATAAAATATAAAATTTATTTTAGGAAATATTTTAATAACAAAAAGAATGGGTAACCAACACAGACCAACAAACAACATAACAACGTTACATTGCCGTTATAAAAATGATACATAACTGTTACGTTACATTAACCAAAATGTTATGTAACAATTGTGATGTGTAACGTTACAGTTACATAACCTGAAGGTTGCAAATAGGTTCCTATTTCCCACCCATAGGAGTAACATTGTTACATAACAATGTTACATTGCCGTTATGAAAATGATACATAACTGTAACGTAACATTAACAAAAATGTTATGCAACGATCGTAATATTACAGTTACATAACCTGACGGTTGCAAATAGGTTCCTATTTCCCGCTTTTTTAGGTAACATTGTTACGTTGTCGTTACATAAATGCATTATAATTTGTTATGTTGTTGTTATGTATCTTTTTAATGGACTACAATGTTACATTGCCGTTATAAAAGTGAAACATAACTGTAACGTAACATTAACCAAAATGTTATGCAACAATCCAACTTTTGTTACATAACATGGCCTTTACGGTTATATAGCATTGTTACGTTGCAACGTTATTATGCTAGACATGAAAAAGTCCCGTCAGTTGAACGCTAAAGCGTATCAAATGATACATAATATCCTATTCTGGCTTTCCCATAATTAGGCATACTGTTTGAGGTCCAATGACAAATGGACATGGTGCGCTGTCTTAACTTCGTTTATATACCTAATCGGAGGGGTAACACGAGCGAGATGTTTTGTTACATAACATAAATGTAATTGTTAAGTAACAAACTTAATACAATAGTATTGCGATGTTACGTTACTGTTATATTGCATATTGGTAATTTTGTTATATTACAGTAGTTTCACAATGTTACGTTGCTGTTATATTGCATATTGGTAATTTTGTTACATTACGTTGCTGTTACATTGCTTATAGGTAATTTTGTTACAT